TTAACCACTGCGCCAAGAGCTGAGGTGGCGCAGTGGTTAAATGCAGCACTGCAGGCTACTTCAGCTGACAGCAGTTCGGCGGTTCAAATCTCACCGGCTCAAGGTTGACTCAGCCTTCCATCCTTCCGAGGTGGGTAAAATGAGGACCCGAATTGTTGGGGGCAATATGCTGACTCTGTAAACCGCTTAGAGAGGGCTGAAAGCCCTATGAAGCGCTATATAAGTCTAACTGCTATTGAAATTTATGATTGATTTGCACTGATTTCAGATGATTGGGCTTGTTTCTTTTCTGGATTTTTGTTCTCTTCTTATAAAAATAATAATAATAATAATAAAACTTTTTGTACTAACCCTACAAGTTTTTAATAGGGTTACAAAAGAATGTATAATTAGTTCCTAATGGCTCCCTTCTTACACACCCATTTGTAGGTGGCTCTGATGGCTTTGTCAATATTTGGGATCCGTTCAACAAAAAAAGACTCTGCCAATTTCACCGGTACCCTACCAGTATAGCTTCACTAGCTTTCAGTATTGATGGGACTACTCTTGCAATAGCATCCTCATATATGTATGAAATGGATGACATTGAACATCCTGAAGATGGTATCTACATTCGCCAAGTGACTGACGCAGAGACAAAACCCAAGTAAGAACGCTCCACCGATACTTGAAATGTTCTTAGTGCTTATTCCAGGGTTGATTAATTTTCCTTAATTCATGAACAGCATTGACTATTGTGGAAAATGCGTTTTCGTTGGAAAACCGGAATTAATTTTCTCTTCTCTCCAAACTCTAAATATCTGTGGGCGATTAGATGACTGAGGGATAAAATTGTCTGTTTGTTTTAGAGAAGGAGGTCAACATTTCATTCTTTCTGAATGAACTATTGTACAAAGTCATGCTATTTCTGGCATAATGCTTTCAGATGAAGCTGAATAAATAAAGATCACTACCGTGAGCAAAATATATTACGTAGGATTTCCAAGCGGTCAAACTATTGACTGTCATTTTTGCATGTGTATCAGCTCTCAGCTTTAATACGTTGGGCCTGAATTAGATAATAGCAGTTGTGTAAATTACACAGACATATTTAAATCCTTTGATAGCCAAAATTATGCCACCACTGGTAACCCAGACAAAATGGGAAGGTGCACAGATTTCATATATGTACTCTCAAACTAAATATATTGTGACTTTTTTTCGTCCTTAGTGCTGTTCACTTATATTGTTTCTAGTGTATATTAAAATAAGAAAATGCACTGCATGTTTGTAAGGTTTGAAAATAGGATATTGATTGCTGTCATTAGCTCACAAGTATCTGACGGCCATTGGCATATGAATCTTTTGAAAGGAAAGGTAATGAAAGTGCAGATGGACAACAATTGTCTAAATGTCTATAGGAAAGATAAATCTGTTCATATAAAACCTGAACAGTCACATATTATATTAGAAAAGAGAGATAGATATGTACATTTCTCAATTTAAAGTTAGACTGCGTTTTGAGCTCTTGTGATTGGGAAAGCTTTGAGCCATCTTCCTAAATTTTGTCTGTACTTTGTGAATCACATTGTGTCTTTGTATCATTGAAACTTGTAATTGGATGAAAAGTATCTCACAATATGAAATTTAACCTGATTACTGCATTTTGAGACAGAATTCACGAAATGCTTTTTTCCAAAGTCAGTCCAGTTAGAGCAGGGGTATCCAATTCACATGGTTACGGCATCGTCACGTGACGTAGCGGGAATTCCCCCCCCCCCTTTGCTAAACTGGGCGTGGCCAGTAGGTGACACACTTGGCCCGCGGGCCATGAATTTGACAGCCCAAATTCATTCAAGCAAAAGAACTAGAATTATGAAGAATGTTTAGGTTTCAAAGATTATTTATTTATTTGACTTATAAAATGCAATATGTTTGCCCTCCCCTACAATAAAAATAATCGCAAACCCCATTTCTGAATGCAGTTTACAATAAATGATTAAAGTGATGGCATTTCCTTGGATTAATATAAAACTGCATGCTGGAATTCAGTACTATGTACATTTTTTCCACTGAGCTGTATGATCTGCTTCAAGTATGTATATAAGTAGCATTACATTTCAAGCCACATTCAATGGAGCCAGTTGAAGATAGCCCGCAGTGCCAGCAAATGTTCATTACATTCTTAGTTAACATATTCAGTATTCAATTTGTGTAGAGAGAAACCCCAATAGAAAGTTTTGATATTTTAGTTAAAGGTAACATGGAATAATAAAATGAGATTTTTTTGTATGAAAATTTATTGCTGTGCTTGAATGTATTTCTTTAAAAATACTGTCAGAAATGATAGAGACAGCTACAGCATTCCAAAACAGCACTGTAGCAATAGGATTTAGACTTAACTGTATTTTATATGTCAATCATAACCATTCTACATTTTATATTTTATTTTTTAAGTTTATTTTTGTGTACGATCTGTTACGCTTGGCATAAAGTGCAAATCAGCTTAGTGCAATTGTTTTCACTTATCATATTATCCCTTTTCTAATGGCCGTCTTCCTGTAAATTATTTGCATTGCGAGAATTTAACATGGGAAACTCTCAGTGGAGTAAAGACAACCATATGACTTTACATTCAGCTGTTTCGATACTTGGCGTGTGCTTGCTAATTATAGGGATGCTTCATTCTGCTTTTCGAGGAGGTTAATCTGCAATTAAACAATATTTCCTCTTAGCTGTCCATTATTTTCTGAAACAGATGGTTCATCATTTCCTGGGCTGTTAAAAACAGCAAGGTTAAGGTTGGACTCTTGGGAGTTGGTTAGTTTTGAATCTTATTACAGGATGTAGAAGCAAAACTAATAAGAATAGCACTTAATATCATTTTGTGACTGCAAACAATTATTTATTAGTAAACAATTGATCCCAGAAGGGCAAATTGTTTGAATCGGTAATGAGCTGAGACAAGGCAGAGCATTCTGCATCTGTTTATTTGCAAAATAATTGTAACATAATTGCAATGCATTTAGACAGGCATCTATTTGGACTTATTTCTCTCTATAAATGAATTTCTGAAAGTTTAATTTATTTTTCTACATGTTTATTCCTTTCTTCAGCCAGATGTGATAGAAATTTTATAGTGATCCAGTACAATAAACACATTCAATAATACAAATGATAATAGCTCCTGGCTTACTTTTTCTATTACCGTTTCTAAAATTCTTATAATCATTCTGTTTTGACATATTTTGAAATGCAAGGAAATGCTAAATCGTTTTGAGATTTTATAAAATCTGCTGCTTTATTTAGAAAGTTAAAAATTCATTTTGAATATTACAGAAATGCAAATACATGTCTAAAATCTCTTTCTTTGTTGCAGGTCAACTTAATCTTGATCAAAAACCTACTACTAGCAAAACAAATTAATCCTTGGATTAAATGAAGATGTTTCAATGTTGGCATAATGTTTTCATTGGGTATATTGTAATGTTTTTTTTTTTTTTTAAAAAAAACCCCATAGCCAAGAATTGTTCTTTTTGTTCATCTGACTTTGAAATATTCCTGTAAGCTAGTTCATTCTTTTGAAATGTGACAGTTGAATTTTTGTATAGATTAATTGTGGCCTAATTGTTTGAATAAATATTTTCAACCCAGTCTCTCTCTCCCCCCCCCCCCTGCTTCTATCCCAAAAGCTATACTTTCAGCTGGAATCGGCTGTAAATGTTAAGCCCTGAATTTAATGATGGCATCGTTTTTGATGTACTGTACAGCAGCAGCAACAATATGATGATGAAAACATTTTGACGTTTTTCAAGCAGCAAGCAACTTAAATTTGATTGATGTTAACTCTAACCTTTCCCTGTTTATTTTTTATTGTAATTAAGTTATGTCGTCAGCAGGTTTAGGAAAGTATGTCCTACAGATTTAAGGAATTTACACCCTAAATTGAAGTTTTATGGTCACAGTTAATGATCAATGTCTGCCTTTGAAAATTGATTTCTTTTCTTGGAAAAAAAGAATATTTTGTCTTTAAACAGCACCCCAATTCCACAACAGATATTTGTATCAGATACACATTGTTTCTACAAATGTGTTACTTGTTGGATATTAATTTGAAATATAATAAATTCAAGATAGTGTTATATATTCTATATGGCTAAAAGACTGTAGACTTTTTTAATTCTTGAAACAATTTTCATTTAAAACTAGAGCTAAATACTGAGGGCAATAAAATATGAAATTAAAAGTAAGAGATTGCTAAGAATGTCAATCCATAGAGTCCATGTGACAATTTTGATAAATAATTATTTGTAGATCCCAAATTGTGCCATCATTTTTGAAACTTTTCCTGAAATTATATTTTTGGAGCCGAAGCTTTGGATATTTTCTTTGTTACTTAAACTTTATTCTGATTTTAGGATGTATCTTTCAGTTTTTATTTCCCCCTTCAAAATGATTTAAGATTACATTAGTGATTTTTAGAGAGGCATTTGTTGTGATAAAGTCTGTTCAGCCCTGCTCTAGATTAGTAATAGTTTACATAGTTATAGAACAAGTTTGGTATATTATGTTCATTAGTAATATTTATCACTCCATCAAATCATCCTATTATCTTTCTCTAATTGTCCCAATACCCTAATGGTTAGTTTCTGCTTTGTGTGTGATTCAGATATCTCTGAAAATACATTTCAAGAATAAGTAACTATCAACTATTCTGTTTCCATTAAAAAAGTTATCAATGTATCATACTTCAGACTTTATTCCGCTAAATCACATTTAGCTTTGCTCCAACTGTAGTCTGACTAGATGGTCTTCAGATTAATGAAGTAGAAGTGTATGGCTTCTGTACTTTCAGAACAATGAAATCTTAGTAGCAAGGGCTATTTTTGAAATAGAAAGCCTTTCCATTTTATTCCCTTATGAGTCATGAAAATTAATGCATTCCATTTCTTCAGCCATTTGCTATTGCCACAATTCGCAGCCTTTGAAAATGATTGTGAAACTGTCAACCGATCAATGTACTCTACTCTAATACTAAACTCTGGCATTAGTACAACTAGATATTGTAGGAAGCTTATACATGGCCTGTTGCAATCTTTTATACCTACAGTAGAGGCATAAGAGAAGGCCAAAATAAGAGTAGGTGAGGCCAAGAATGAAATTCAAACAGAAAAAGCGATGTAAATATATTGGAGGATTTGAAGGTGCTGAGGAAATAAAATGCCAATGAAATTCAAGTAGAGAAATTGGAAATAGGAGAAAGTGGGTTAGATACTGATCTATATATCAGATGCCAATACACATCAATGGTCAGGTTCCAAACCAAGCAAGTGTGGGGATTATTAACCTGAATTGATAGTTCTGTTAGAAGCAGTATACAGTTACACATGCATATGGTTCACCGACAAATGCGCGCACGACAAATGCGCGCCAACAAAACCGCGGCAAGAAAACTGCGGCATCAAAATCACGCCCACAACAGCGCGCCAACAAAAGCGCGCTTTCAACAAACAATGCGAAAACAACGTAATAACCCTAAACCTAACCTTGAACCTAACCCTTGCCCTTACCTTAACCGTAATCACGCTTTTGTCGGCGTGCTGTTGTGGGTGCGATTTTGACGTTGCAGTTTTGTCATGCGCACATTTGTCGGGTCACGCATGCATACATGTATATGTGAGGCATTCCATCTATGAAGGAGCAATTTTTTAATTCTCTGAACGCATGATGGCAAAATGCCACAAACGTTGAGTAATGCACAGTAAACTTGCTTTTTGCTAAATGAGATAAGGCAGAATGATTCCTGAGCAGGGTAACTGAGGTCTGAAAAGCCTTTTTAAATGATAGCCTTCTGTTGGAGATTAGAGAGCTTTCCAGAACATAGAATCATACTGACCATTCTAATAATTCCTTCCATCATCCCAGGCTGCACGCATTGTAAAAATGTTACAAGGGGTCTCAAAAGACTAACATGGTATGTATAGTGAAGACATCTGTATCCCAAATGATGTGTTGTCACATTTCAACAAATAAAAGATTCTGAATAATTAGGGTAATTTTAATATGTGTAAAATTTATAACTTAAACCCACCTAATACAGTCTTCTAAAGAAGGAAAATTAGGTTAACAATATAAAGAGGTTTTTTTTAATCTTGAAATGTTATGAATTTACATTTTGTACCCAGTCTGGCTCAAATACATTAATGGCCAAATTCTGTAGAACTTGGAAGCATATTTTAAAATAAATACCTGAATCTTTTTTGTTGTAAAGCTGTGCTAAAAATGCAATATGTTTTCAAAGACTTAGATTTTATGGACAAGAAAGCATGGGGACCAATGCAGGTGTATTTATTTATCTAATTTATATAGCTACCCATCTCACAGGCAAGTGACTCGACTTTATCTTATACCTTTACTTTTATTTTACTTTTTATTGCTCAGACTTTTTTCTCTCCTATCTTTTAGCTTCACAAAATGTTAAATTGTTTATAAATGAGGTTTGAATTTGGTGACTGCCCTTGCTTATAACAAGGATCAACCAACATTTCAGATTCTTGGCACTCATATCAATCACTTAGTATCTGGTTTACTCTTATGAGATCTTTTACAAGAACAATGATATCTCACAAGATTATATGATTCTTCAATATTTTCTTTACATTTCAGTTAATTTTTACATTTCTTATTTAATGTGCGTGCTAGGATCACATATAGGAACATTTGGAAGTTGATGTACAGCATGATATCCATGACCATAATTTCATATCAAGTTGTTCTGTTTTTCTGTCTCGTCTGCCAATCAATGAATATGCAAATTTAAATTTAATTTCTTTGGTACAACCAACCACAGCATTCAGTAATGCAGCTAGACCACTATTGTTTCCCTGGGCATACCACAGTTATAATTTTGTATTTCTGTGGCATCCATTGCGCATAACAAAAACAAGAAGTGTTTTGTTTTATGATTGGATGTTATTCTTGGGCATTTTTCATGGATAAAAATCTTTCCTTCCTCTCAGTACTTTGCCGTGTGTTGTCCTGCCATTGGGTTCTCAGCTTGTTTCACGGTTCCGTCGCCACGGGAACCAACACTCCCCATTTATCCGGGCTTGTGACCGGCTATGGTTTCCCGTAGGCTGGTGGAAAAACGAAACGGTATTGCAGCTGTGTAAAAACCAAACTACAATCGAACTTTACCTAAGAAGACAACGACTTAGGTGGTTTGGACACATTTGCCGTATGGACAATAGCCGATTACCTTACCGATCGATTAACTCGCTGCGACCGGATGGGTGGAAAATCACACGATTTCAATGGCTAAACTTCTGCTCACTGAACCAGCTATTCAAAACCATAATTCCGCAAGGAGAGAGGATGGGAATGGAGCTATTTCAAAAACTAAACATCTATCCTAAAAGAAAATCCACCCGCGACCAGCACTGAGTGGAGCTTTTATAAGCTTTAGAATAAATGAGCTGGAAGGAATCTTGGAGGTCTTCTGGTCCAGCCCCCTGCTCAAGCAGAACCTAAACCAGAGGTCTTCAAACTTGGCAACTTTAAGACTTGTGGAATTATACTCCCAGAATTCTCCAGATAGCTATGGACTTCA